TATATCTCCCTTGTACAGGGCTCTGGAACTCTTCATCTATCATCCATTGGCAATGGAAGCACTGATCTTTCTGAGGCCGAGGACAACTTAGCCTTCGAGCAAGAAGTTGTGAAGCTGATGGAATCCAATGTCACGGCCGCAATGCAATTTCTTCAGAACAAAGGGCTCTGCCTCATGCCCATCGCCCTCGCTTCTGCAATCTCCACCCAAAAGGGTTCATCTTCTGCCTCCATTCCTCCTGAGAGAAGGAAGTCTGATGTTGGTGTTACCAAAAAGGAAGAGCCTTGAAGAAAAGTTCAGGCTTTAGAGGATAACTAACCTCACTCTTTGTTTTTTACTAGTTTGAGTAATAGTTAATTTTGTGTATAGGTTTTTGGGTAGTAAATTTGTATACCGTACATGTACATGCAATGTTTTTGTGTGTATGTATACGGGAGTAAATAAATAAATGTGTTGTAGGCTTTGATGGATTTGTGTTATGATCCAATGTTTACTTTTGTGTGGTAAAGCATGTTATATCGAACCGAGAGTGTTTTCTTTTGAATGTTTTAAGGAATATGGAGGATATAATTGAACTTTTGATGTATGACATCTGGTTAAAGTATAAGTTCGTTTGTTTGTTTAATTGTTCTCGGAAAGGCAAAGGCTTAAAGACGTACATTAGCCTAACTAGGCCTAAAGATATGTTTGAAATTAAACTTTATTTCTACACATCATCTATGAGTCGAAGGAGAAGTTCTTAGAAAACAAAGATGATTTTTGCCGTGTATATTAAAATTGTAGCACGATGCCATTTATCCAAATGAACTGTTAAACAAGAATTCAAACTGGAGCAGAAATTGATCTTTCACACAATACTATGTTTGTCCGTTGATTGTTATTGCTCATACTAACATTAGAAAATAGTTTAACTTCATTGATTATTACGCTAATATAAAAATGTGCTCACGCTGATTTTAAATGTATCCATTATTGTGGTTGTACTGATATTTGGTTTTAAATGTATTCATTATTGAGGTTGTACTGATATTTCAATTACTTTTGCTGATTTTCATAGTTGATATCAATTTTTATATTGCTTGATAATTTATAATTGATAGGTAGATACATGTCACTTTGAAGTTTCATTGTATATGATTTTCTTTAGCGGGGGTTTTAGTCAAAAAGAACTAAAAATTAGAACTAGAATAATTTGTGGGATAACATTTTATAGTGTTAGTCAAGTAGAACTAAAACTAGAATAAAATTTTACAGTGTTCATCGACTAGAACTCAAACGAAACTAAAACTGAGATAATTGTACAAAACTATCTGTTTTTTAAACTTTTCTATATAAAAATGAAAGTTCTAATTTCTCAAATTATCCTAAGTTTTAGTTTGGGACTCAGTGGTAAAAAACTAGAACTCCTATTTATTTTATTATTTTTTATATTTCTTTTTTTTCTTTATTGTTTTCCTACTATGGTCATCACCGTCATTAGATCATGTTATTACATCAGATTGTGTATCCTCTTAGTCATCTATGATATTTTCTTTTTTTTAGCGAATATTATAATTATTTAGTTAATTTAAAAGTAAAGATAGTATCAATTCATAATTTATTAAACAATAAAATTGGGAGATGAGGGAAAGGAGATCTCGGGGAGAAAAAAAAGGAAGGAAAATGTAAAAAATATTCTTTTAGACTTGAACTATAATAATAATTAAAAAAAATAAAAAATGACAACATATATTATAATAATAATTGTCAATATCTTATAGTCTAACCAAAATTAAGTTATTTAATATTAAATAACATTCCCGTAAATGCATAAATTTATACTTCATGATTATAAGAATTTATCCCACTTTATTTTATCAAAATATCCCTCTTCACAACATTGTTCCTATTTATCCCACTATGATATCCCACTAGCAAAAAGTTATTCCACTTTGACAATTATCCCTCTTCACACGAAAATGTCCCAATTGATTAGGGCAAATTCACTAAACCCCCTATACGTAGTAATACAATCTACAGTGTTCATCTACTTGTGTTATTTCTATTAAGTAACCAAGTTGCCAGAAATTTTAGTAGGTTGAGCCAGAAACGTTAAGCTTTTTTTCTCTTCATCATGTAAATTCATTGCTATTGCACGTGAGATAGTGAAATATGTATGTGAAGGCAAACTTATAGGAAACAAAGGATATAAATTTATGTCTCTTAGACATTGAACTTTAATTTATTGCAAGGGTTGCATCAACAAAAACAGTGAACGAAGCTGAATATATGTATGTGGATGAAAAATGGCAAAGACGCATATCATATGCAGCTCGAAGTGTGGGGAAAAAAGCATTATTTTGTCACTTCCTTAGTTTCTAAAACACAAATTCGTGTTCCTAATAAAAAGTTCATGTCTTGCTCAAACTTGTTGGGAAACTTTGATCACAAATGAAAACAGAGGTCAACAATATTCTGGATGAATGATCTACTTTCTTATTAAACAAACTTGGGTTTATACGCCTTACAGTCATAACAGAAAAGCTAAAAGAAAGCTCACGTTTAGCATTACATCCGCTAACGTGGTTAGTGTAAATTGAACCACTAACAGTCCCAACTAGCCCTAAAGACTAGGGATTTATTAACAGAAACAAAGAGGACTTAGTAAACTCCTAAAAACAAGCAACAACCCTTCAATCCCTCCCCTAAACTAACTGTGATACACAATTAGTTTAGCTCAGCTGCCTTGCAAATGCCCATCTGACTTCTAAACTTCCGGAAAACATTCAACTTCAATGGTTTTGTCATCACATCTGCAGTCTGCTCCTCCGTTCCACAATGCAACAGCTCAACAGTTCCATTCTTAGCTAGCAAGCTCTCTCAAGAAATGAAACCGTACATCAATATGTTTACTTCTCCCATGCATGACAGGATTCTTTGACAATTTGAAGGTGGAGCTGTTGTCACACATGACTATGGTACCCTTCTTCTGAACATGTCCCAGCTGCTCCAAAACTCTTCTCATCCACACTGCTTGACTTGCACACCCGGTTGCTGCCACAAACTCTGCCTCTGTAGTTGACAATGTAACAATTGGTTGTTTCTTTGAAAGCCAAGACACTGCTCCAGAATTTAAAAGGAAAACATAACCGGAAGTGCTTTTTTGATCTTTTAAGTCACCAACATAGTCACTGTCTGTGTAAGCAACCAAGTCATCCGAAATCCCCTTATTGTACATGATTCCATAATCAAAGGTACCCTTCAAGTACCTCAATATCCTCTTGACAGCTTGTAAATGAAGCTCTGTAGGTTTCGCCATGTACCTGCTGATCAAGCTTACACTGTAAATTATGTCGGGACGAGTTGCCGTGAGATACATGAGACTCTCTACAATTTGCTTGTAATACGATTCATCAATTTCAACTCCAGATTCATCCTTGCTTAGATTGGAACCTGGAACAATCGGGCTATGGACTTCATGACTTTCTAGCATTCCAAATCGCTTCAAAACCTCTAGTGCATATTTCCTTTGGGAGATGAAGATACCATCGGATTGTTGTGACACTTCAATACCGAGAAAGAACTTCATTTTTCCCAAATCAGTCATCTCAAAAGTTTGCATCATTGAACACTTGAAACTACTCATCATCTCTTCATCATCACCAGTATAGATTAGATCATCAACATAAACACTTACAATAAGTATTTTACCTTCTTTGCTCTGTTTTGTGAAAAGGGTCTGCTCATTTGGACATCTTTCGAAACCCTCATTGATAAAGTAAGTCTCCATGTGGGTGAACCAAGCTCGTGGAGCTTGCTTTAAGCCGTATAAAGCCTTGTGCAGCTTGTAGACCTTTTCCTCACTTCCCTTGATCTCATAACCCCTTGGCTGCTCAACATACACATCTTCATTAAGTTCATCATGAAGGAAGGCTGATTTTACATCTAACTGGAATATTTTCCAGTTTCTTTGAGCTGCCAGAGCTACTATCATCCTCACAGTTTCCATTCTCGCCACCGGAGCATAGACCTCTGTGTAATCTATTCCATGTTTTTGTGTGTACCCTTTAGCCACCAAACATGCTTTGTGTTTCTCAATCTCTCCATGCTCATTATACTTAGTTTTATAGATCCATTTCACCCCAATTTTCTTGGCTCCAACAGGCAACACAACCAACGTCCATGTCTTGTTTTTCTCTATGGACTTGATTTCACTGTCCATGGCCAATCTCCAGTTTACATCCTTCACTGTTTCTTCATAGTACAATGGATCACTTGACAACATTAGTGCCAAATTACCTTCATCTTCAGATAACCCGAGATCCTCCCCACTAACATAATCTCTCATCCATGCTGGAGGCTCTCTCATTCTCTTACCACCTTCATTATCCTCAATGTCCCTATTATTTGGAGATACATCTCCCTCTCTCTCACCACTGCTAGTCTCACCTACATCACCACCAAAATTTTCAACTCCATCAGTGTTGTCACCTCTCTCACCGTTATTATCACTTACTCCTGCTACATCAACATCTCCCCATTCTAAATCTACCAAAATCTGTTCTTCATAACTCACATCCCAATCCCATTGTTTCTCCTCTTCAAATACCACATCCCTACTCACTACTATCTTTTTTGTAATAGGATTAAATAGTCTATAGCCCTTGGATTCCTCACTAACACCCAAAAATATACACATAAAACTTCTATTATCAAGTTTAGTTCTTTGTACCTCCGGCACATGAACATGTGCTATGCAGCCAATGGTCCGAAAATGATCAACAGAAGGTTTCATTCCACTCCACGCTTCTTCTGGGGTGATGCTTTTGACTGCCAAAGTTGGACATCTATTCAGCACATAATTGCTCCAATTTACCGCTTCCGCCCAAAATGTTTTTAGGATTTTCTTCTCGGAGAGCATTGCACGAACCATGTTCATTATTGTTCTATTCTTACGTTCAGCCACGTCATTTTGTTGAGGGGTGTAAGCAATTGTCAGCTGCCGCTTAATGGCGTTTTGCTCACAGAAATTGTTGAATTCAAGCAAGGTGAACTCACCTCCCTTATTTGTACGCAGACACTTGATAGACGAGCTTGTCTCATTCTCCACCATCTTCTTAAAACACTTGAAATGACTCAATGCTTCTGACTTCTCCATCAGAAAATATATCCATGACTTTCTGCTATAGTCATCTATAAGACACAAAGTGTATCTTTTGTTGCTGTTGGACATGAGAGTGATTGGACCGCAAATGTCTGCATGGATGAGATCCAATACCTGACTTGCTCTCCAAGAACTCTTCCTAGGTATAAGATCACTGTGATGCTTGCAAACAATGCAGTCTGTGAACAACTCATCTGAGACAGTAAAGTCGGGGAGACCACGTACCATTTTCTTGTTCAGCAAAGTTCTCAAACCCTTGTAACTTAGATGTCCATATCTGCGATGCCAAAGTTGAGACAGTGATAATCACATTTTTATTATAATTTTATACCCTCATTATCTATTTTATATGAATAAATATACCACTAATAATTGCTTTTATTTTTAATTACAGGTTAATGAAGAATAAATCCCAAAAATCTCATCTCTCAACAAAGGCCCTTGAGTAAATGAAGAAATAA